CAAAAGAGAAAGAGAGAGAGAGAGAGAGAGAGAGAGAGAGAGAGAGAGAGAGAGATGATATATATTGTAGAAAGAGAAGATTAAATGAGAATAGAGTTCTACTCATTTTAAGTTTTCAATGAATTTTTCAGCTCTCTATCATCACTTGCAGCTCAAGAGTTTTCCAACTCAATTATATTTTATTTTTATTAGAAATAAGCATGCAATGTCAGCAAAAATAAAGGGAAAATGTAAACAAATATCATGTGATGTTGCAATGTCATGAACAAAATCTTAATCGACTCGCAATTAATGCATGCGATGCACATGAAATGGAAAATGGGACTGTGTATTGGCATGGGCCGCTCAACAGGCTGTTGACAGTTTGTTGGCTGGGCTGAAAGGCCAACCGAAAGGCTAAGGTCGGAAAACTATAAGCGATATATGGCGATTAATGCGATAGCGGCGATATCTGCGATAGGCGATGAATGCATTGCGTGCCTATGTGACTCGAATAATTATTTGACATGCACTGGCAATTGCATGTGTGTGCACTCAACTGAATATATATAAAGAGCTACGTTATGTATGTATATATACATATGTATATCTTATCATATAGGAACAACCACATCATTGACACTGACAATCGAAATTCAGCGAGCACAAACAAAAAAGGTTTTGTGCAAGTTTTGTCAAGCAAATCGGAAGTAAAGGTGGGAAATCTAAACATTCATATGTAATATATGTATATAGAAATATATATAATATAATGACAGTGGAGAGAAGTTAGCTAATAAATAGCTCAATGGGCTAATATGCTTCAGCTTCAACTGAATGTAGGAGACAACAATGAACAGAAATTCAGAAACTCTACTAATTATTATTATTAACAGAGATCTATACTGTTATGACATTTTATGTTAAATATTTCCTACTGTTAAGAGCCTTTTACTGTTAACTTTAAGTGAATTCACTTTGAGACATTGTTTATACAATATATAAGCTAGGGCATATTTTCTTTTCAAACTAGAAGCCTTTGAGCTGCTATATCTTCAGGGCATTTCCAAGTCGTGCACGCCCCCCGGACAAAATGTGACTTGCTGCAGCTTCTTTTAATTGCTGCACGATTAAACGAGTTTACATTTCTGAATTGCCTTTAATGACTTTATAGCAAAAAACAAACTGTATATATACATATGTATCTCTTCGCCTCTGCTCTCTAATTTAGTAAATTATACAGTTGCAATTATTTGATTAACATTGCATGGAAAATTTAATATTCAATTGCGATTGACAACAGAAACTGAAACTGAAACTAAACTGCATTTACAATTGCTGGCACTTATGAGTGCTTCCATTTATTCTGGAATTTATTGTTATTTTATTGCTTTCGGGTCGTACATGTGCAAGAAATTTGTTTAGCACGGCAATCAGTTGTTTGTGTCTGCGCCTCGATTCGGTATCTTTACCTAATTAAAGATTACATTTAATTGTTTTGTTAGGGACGCCTTTGGAGCTTTGTTGTATCTGAGTCGAAAATCAAGGCTACAGACTTTACCTTGAGATTGCATTTAATGCAGATTTACAGCGGCCTAAGCACATAATCTATTAATTCTCTTCAATCTTGGTAGCTTCTTCCACTAGATTATGTCACTTCTCGATTCTTCTTGCACTTCTTTGCATTTCTTTCCTTAGCTTAACTTTGCCCTTAAGTTGAACTTCCAGCTGCCCCAAGCTTCGATAAATCGCTCTAGTCAAGCCTTTGCTCTAGCTTAATACTTCTCATCTATGTTAAGTCCATGTTAAATGACTTTTTATGCAGTTGAAGCTTAAAACTCCTCACAAACTAGTTTATTCTCCATTATGCCTCGCCTCTTTCTTCTTGTTTCCTCTGCTCTTTGACAATGCTGCATATTCACTTACCTCAGCTTGTGTTGTTGTTGAAACAGGCGCCATCTGTGCTGCCCCCAGAATGGACAGGATTGTGCCTAGGACTATGAACACGGATGCGTAGCTTTGGCAGGTGTTGGACATGTTGTGGCTGTTTGTTACTGTTGTTGTTGTTATTGTTGTTGTTGCAATTGTAGTTGTGTAATTGTTGTTTGTTGCGCACTTTGAACTTCAAGTCGTGACTGAAGTTTTTTCTTTATTCAAAACGAAAAAAAACGTAGCAACTGCGCACTGGAAAGACAATAAAGTAGACAAACCACAATTAGAATTCGAAATAGAATTGCAAAAAAGGTCAATTAATATTTTCAGTCGGGTAAAAAGTATAATCAAGAAAAGGGCCAAGTGCAAAAGGGCAAACGGAAGCAGCCAGCTCAAACTTAGCTGGCTAAGTGCCTGTTTGGCCAACAGGTTGGCTCTGGCAGCAGTCAACGGGGTCTGCATGGCGTATACTTAATTTCGGACTGGAACCAGCTAGCGGAAGTGTGGCAAAAGTTATGGCACATGCCCGTATGTGTGTGTGTGTGTGTGTGTGTGTGTGGCATATGACGTGTCAGCACTTGCTTCGTCTTCTTCTTCTTCCACTTCTGCCTCTTTACAGCTGTTATTTACAGCCGCAGTCATGTGGCTCGTCTGTCTGTCAGCCAGTCTGACACATTAAAACTTAATTTTAGACCACGTCCAAATTACAGTTACTAAATTTAGATTTCATGTGCAAATATATGTTATTACACCGCCGCCTAGTCGTATTTGCTCCATGTTATATGATATGTGTCTAAAAATAGCATCACTTCTATTGCAAATTATGTTCATATGACTATGAAGCTCCTATTTGTCAGATTGTGTTGACAGAGCAACGCATCTGCACTTTATAGACCCGTTTAGATAGTTGCCTGAAAACACCGTCTTAGTTTTATTAGACATCTTAACTGTAACACTTGGCAACTGGCGAATGCAACGGGAAATGCAGTTATTACAGAGCGTTATTTTTACACGAGCTGCAGTTAGTCTAACTGTCTGTCTCTAAGCTCTTTGAACTAGTTCAAAATTGAGTACACTGCAACAAAAATAATGGTATTAATAATAATAAAAAAAAAAATTATATTTCTTTACTTTTGCTTTAAAAACACTTTTTGAAATTATCCTAAAAATGTATTATTATTATTTTTGTTTTTAAAGAAAAAATTTATTGTCCCCCTTATATATTTCGGTATTTTTTTCTACCATTTCTGAGCTTAATACTATTTTTAATTATCATGTAAACTTTCGGAATACATTATTATATTTATTTAACTTTTAAAAAAATTTTTTAATATTAAATTTATTATTATTATTTTTTTTTTTTTAATTAATTAATTTTTTTTTATTATTATATGTATTGTAATATTTTTGTTCCTCATCTCGAACTTTGTTATTTGTAAAATTATTTCTTAGCATCCCAGACCTGAGATTAGGTCTGTAAATTGTTGACAAAGAAAGCTTTCCTGGCACTTTCCTCTCCAGAATTCATTAGCTTGCTTTACAAATGATATCAATAAATTAGATTAGGGTAAGCATCTATTTACGTGTCTGACACTTGCTAAAGCCCTAAATATACATATATGTACATATATGTATCTTTACTTTGTCGCTCTTAATTTCGCGCAGTGCACGCTGTGACATCAGCAGAGCTGTGCGATAAGCGATATCAAGTATACGACAAGTGGAGCGCTGTTTTTTTTCCTTCTTTTCTTTTTTAACGCCAAGAGCCAAAAGCCAAAAGCAAATGCCGGCACAAACAACAACTCTAACAAAGACACACAATTATATATATAAATATGCATTAGTACATATTTAGTTTCGGGCGTGTCAGGCACCTACAGGTGGGAGGAAGAAGAAGAAGGCGAAGCAGCAGAGAGTAGCATAAGGGACAATATTTGCTATGTGATACGCAAAAGTCTGCATTTATTTTCGTGCTGAGCCGTTCGCAGTGTTTTGTATTGACTAATCAGCCAACGGGGGATTTCTGTGTGGACATGGGCATTATCATTTCACCGAGTAGGCCCATTCAGATAAACATACATATATGTGTACACTATATAAATATACAAATATGAGAAGTGAATTTGGAGCAATTAGGCGTGTGTGGGGCGGGTTGAAGGTCGTTATTCATTTGGGTTTAAGGTTAAAAGCTGTCAATTTGGTACGCTTCGGTTCTACTCTCTTGCGCTTCACTAAACAAGCACATATGAATGTATCCACACACACACACATAGATATATCTATATATATATAGTTATGGGTAGAGTCATAGTCGCTATAACGATGAATACTTTTCGCATTGTTGTTTAATCAATAGCGACGCGCACATTGAAGTTTATTTTTTGAAGAGTTTTACTCTTTTTTTTTTTTGGTTTTTGCCAAAAACAAACTGGATTACGTATACGTAATGTGGGTCATTAGGCGCTGTTACAACCAGAAAATTTAGTTTATGTGCTAAATATGAACAAGCATCGTTGGATAAATGAAAGCAAAAGAGTTCAAGTTTAAAAAAATGAAAAAAAAATTATTTTAAATAAAACTAAGTTGGGATGTGAAAAAAAATTTAAACGAATTAATTAAATTTTTTTTTAATTTTTGTCTATCATCTCAAATATTTACAAGTCAAATTACGTATACGTGATCAAGTTCAGATTACGCATTTATAAATTTCTATTATTCTATTGCTATTAGAAATTTCAGCGATATGCTAATATTTAACTAAGGCTCCTCCATTTCGAAGCCAAAGCAATGTGAATCACGAACATAATGTTTATTTGATATGCTAATTATTGGGAGATATTTTCTTCTACTTTTTCGTTGCTGTTGTTGTTTTATTATTTTGCGGCAGTCAAATTTAGCAGGTGGAATGTTTGCCAACAGGTTTAGCAAGTGTATAAGATACACTGCACAAAAAAAAAAAAAAAGAAATTGTTAAATCAAGCAAGTAAAAAGAATTAATAGAGCAACCAAAATTCTAAAATTTACAGCTGTTTGTGAGAAAATTTTTTTGTCATGTTTTTGTTAGTCATGTTTTTTTTTCTCAGTGCATTGATGACGCTTGTTAGACTTTGTTGTTTTAGTATTGGTAGATGTGGTACGTATTGCACAATTGGTTGATTGTGTGTGCGTGTGTGTGAGTTGTTGCCTTATCAACAGTTCTTTTTCTTTTACCAACTTTACCAAAAACCTGTTAAAAGTGCTTAAGTATTGATAAGATATGCTGCCAAGGGCTGTGCATTACCAAATAAATATTTATGTGTAATGAATGACCAACTCGATCAATAAATATTACATTTTTGGCTTAGAACTTGACCTTAGAGAGATAAGGGATAGACGTAAGCACTTAAGTGCAGTTACAAATCTATGTTAAGTCGGCGATTAAGTTAAGCCCAATTCAAGTTCATTTCTCCCTCGGACTGTTTTTAGATAAGAATGGGGATGCTGCGATGCTTACATGGAAGTGTTGTCTCTCTAGATCAATGAACTGCAATTGTTGCTGTTGCTGTTGTTGTTGTTCTCGCCTTTGTTGCTCTGTTTGTTTGTTGAGAAAGTGACAATTAATTAATTAGCTCGTTGCATAAATCAACTGCACGCATTTGTCTGTGTGGGCGTTTTTTATTGGCGTTGACAGATTTTCTTCCCCTCTTTCTTTCTTTTCTCTCTATTCTTGCTTGCTTTATAATTTCAACTTGTGCACAGGATTGGTATTTAGTTGTACATGCATTTTTTGATGCAACTGTAACGACACTTGTTCACTTTGCAAACGCTACAACTGTTAAAATTTCAAATTGCAATATCGAAATTTTGTTTTTATTTTTGTTAATAATGTTAAGTTTTCTTTTATATATTTTTGTTTAATATATTCGAATTTCGTGTTTCGCCGCCAAACACAATCGCACAGAGCAGCGCGCAAATTTCAACTGATCCAACGGCGCATCACGAAGTGCGAGCAGCAGTCGAAAGCTTTTCGCAGTTGCGCATAAGTTACGATAAAAAGCTTTTGCACGCACACGCAATGCGCTTAGCAGCGACGCTGGCGTTAACAGCGCTCTGTTATCGGCAGTTAACAGCGGGAATTCCTCTGCTGGTCAAACCTGTTGCTGCTCGGCTCCCTCTTTAAGCTGCGCTCTATCGGCTTTGCTTATGAGTAATGAACGTTTCTTGGAAGCATGTGTCATGCTCTTCAGTAGCAGCGGCAGCCGCAGCAGCGGCGACGTCAGCGGCAGCTTTTGTTAACTGTTTAGCGTGTGCTTTGTTGCCGTTATTGTTGTTGCTGTTTGCTGCTCCTCACTCATTTGCATTTTTACAGTTTACAGTTTACAGTTTATTGCCGGCTGCTGTTGCTGCTGCTCTGCTCTGGCTGCTGTTGCTGCTGCGCCAGCTTCTTGTTAAATTCGTGCAATTTCCGTTGAAGTTGTGACTCTTGGGCGCCCCTTTTGTGGGTGTGCCCGTAAAAACCTCGATACACAAAATTTATGAATGAATCTTAAATTGTATTTCGATTTCACAGTTTGCTTTCAATTTGTGGTTTTTGCGTTTCTCAATGGGCATTAGTCATACGATAGCGTTTGTCTGTGTGTATGTGTGCGTGTATGTGAATGTGTGACTGAGACAATTAGCACCTGTGTGGCACACGCCTATGACTGGAGCTTACTTCATGTAGATTTTACGAGGGAACTGAGGAAGCTGAGATCTAAACAAATTTGTATAGGCATAGAGTATATTCTTATGAGGGTACATAGATGCAAATACTTAATAGAGAGAATATATCACACTTTGAACTACATGTCTTATTTAATCAAATCATATTTATATATTTTAAACAACATATTTTAGCTTTACTTTACTCAGCTTATATTTTGTATTATACTTTACTTAAAAATACAACTACATCAACTATAAAATCTTTAAAAATTGTATAAAATTATAAAGTACGATTATAATTTCTTCGCATTCGGGGAATTCGACAGGTCGACTAGAAATACTAATGAAATTCATTTATGTGGGCTCATATGTATACGTATGCATATATCTAGAATTTTAGTCACTGGGAATGGTTATGATTTGCTTGGTTTTCTCAATAAATATTTGTGGAAAAATAATTTCCGTTTGCGTGTTGGTGTCGCTGACTTTTATCCCACTTAGCCATTAGCCATTTAGCTGTTGGGCATTAGACTTTGGTCATTTAGCATCAATTGAGGCTGTAGTGGCTTTGTCTGCTTGGGTCAACTGAATCGAGCTGTGAGTCAGCAGATGATACGATCCCCCTGCTCTCTACTCCCTGACCAATAGATAACTTTTGCTTTATGTGCACTAACTAGAGAGGCTGTGGAAAGAGGGCGGGTTGGGGCTTGGTGCTCTGTAAACAATCTCAGAGACTACAAATGATATGTGCACATGTTTATAATTTATTATGAGCGGAAAATTACAGAGAAAAATGAGACTGCATAGATGGGATGATAAAGGCACATGTGTGAAAGATCAGCTCAGATTTAAGAATTAAAGTTTTCGTATTTATATGAAATAGCAAGAAGAAGAAAAAAAAGCTGATGATGCCACAAAATGCCAACTGCCAAACTGCCAACGGCTGACGGTTGACTGTTGACAGCTGCTGCTGCTGTAGGTGGAGTGGGACAGGAATCGTATGTAGAACTTGAAGAGCTCTTTAAGAACTCTGGAACTGGAAACGTATCTCTTTTTATGGCATTGACAACTTGCAGTTGGCTGCGGGTCACACACACACACAGACACAGTCACACAGTCACAGGCTGTGGCGCCCCGCAGCCTCGCTTTGTGCTGCTGCAGCTGCATCTCTTGACAAGAACAATGAAATATTTATGAGCTTCTTGTTTCTTCACTGCGTTTTGCCTTTTGTTTATATAGAAATACATGTACACATATATATGTATGTATATGTGTCTCTTTTAATGGAAACTATTTATCGTTCTACTCGTATTTATAGATTTTTCATATAGTTCGATTTATGCAGAGCTGCGGTTCATTGCCATTCGCTTGAACTCTATAGAGCTCTGCAAATATAATAATCATATTTTATACCTATTCCTCTCCCTCTCTCTCTCTCTCACTCTCACTCTCTCTCTTTCTCCCTTTATAGCCACATATCTCTAGTCTAATTGTTGTTATTATTTTATATTTATTTCTGATTCTAAACTTTATCACGTCACGGTCAGTTAGACTATTCGCATTCACATTCAGTTAGTCGTAATTCAAATTGTCTTATTGGCATTTGAATTCCAATTGGATATGTTTTTTTTTTTTCTTACACAATATATAATATGCCTACGTGCCTGCATTTGCTAATGTTTGAGGAGAACAATCGGAAACCAATGCGAATGCAAACGGCTCGAGATCGTTGCACATTAAAGATATCTTTTTTTCGTATAATATGCAACAGGAAGTAAAGCAGTTGATGAATGTAGAGATAAAGATTGTTTATTCTAGATAAATATGGGCTATACTCAATGAAAATATATATATGGTGTTTTTTTTGTTCTAAAAACTAGTGTATAGAGTCGTCTAAGGTAAGCTGCTGAACTAATTGAGTTATAGTGAGATGAAGAAATAATCTATAACAGTATAAGGGTGGTTTTTTATTTCTATTGATACATATTCATAGCACGGGAACTGTATATTTATATATTTTTGTATGGGTGAGTCTATCATCGGTTATATGAGAGTCTACAATAGATATTTGTTCTAATTTTTGTAATACCGAATTTCAGCTGCTCAGCTGCTCAACTAACTGAGTTAGAAATAGTTATATATCGTCTATATGCTATAGGCATTCGATTATAATAAGCTGCAAGCATTCTGATCTTGTAGAGTTCACCTTAACACTAAATATGTAGAGCTGTTCATATACCAAGTTTCAGCCATATAACTGTTTAGCTAGGCAAATACTCATATGTGAGCCCTAGACAAGATAGGGACTGTTATTCCATCAGACATTACATGCTGTTATATCATGTCAACGTTATATCATATCACATAAGAGTTACATCTATCTGCCATCTGAACATTTTATTTGCGGCTGACTCAGCTTAGCTGAGATTGGCCAGCTCGTAGAGCCCAATGACTCATCAAGATTTTGTTCTCTTTGGGGACTTTGCCCGCGGGAAGTCAAACTTACCACCGTGAATGTTCAGAGTGTTCCGAAGTTGCCTTTTCGGCAATTGTTGCACGTAGAAACTATGATGAATGTGTTTGTGTACCTAGACCGAGTGCTACACGTGTCTGCAGATCAAAGTTAAGATAAGAATCAGCGCAAATATTGCACATACACACACACGAACACACTCGCAGGTAGGCAGACTCTGTGTAGGGGCGAAAGAGTTTGTCCAGCTAGTTCTTATCAGAGGCCCTCAGATTGGCCAATTGCTGATTAGACTTTTATATGACGCATTGATAACTCAAGAATTAGGCAAAGGTTAGCTCTTGCTCGCTCTCTCACTCTCTCACTCTCCCTCTCGTTTACTTGGCAGTTTCAGTTAGCTGTTTTCGTGTTGGCCTAGCCACAAATCAAAATATACAAAAATTCGAATTCGAATTTCAAATTGGAAGTCGAATGCAAATCGCAAGCCGTTTCGAGCGACGTCTTTGAACTACGCGAACCGTTTCATAGCACGTTCCGTGTGCGACTCCCGTTTGTTGTTTAGCCACAGTCAACGCGTTGGCTTTGCCATTGCCTCTAGCTAGCTAGCTCTACCTAGCACTTCCCTCTCCATCTCCATCTGTCTCACTCACTCTCTCTCTCTCTCTTGCTCTTTGTCCTCCTCGCTCGCTCGTACAGTCTGTTGCTGTTTCGTGGTGGCCTGAACTGGCTAAATTACGCGCTGTTAACTTGTCTGTTGTGCCGTTTCTTTGGCGCGACAAACGCCGGCGAGACTAAGCTCTCTCTCTCTCTCTCTCTCTCGCTCTCTTTCTGTGTGTGCGTGTGTGTGTCGGTGTGTTTTGAATTCAAATGGTAATGGGCATTCGTCTATTACCTGTGCTACCTTTTGCCTATATGTTGCGACTTTCCTCTCAGCTTTTTGGCGTCATTTAGGTACTCTAACTAGAGAACAGTTATATTGACTATTAACTGATATTCGTAACTACTGCGAGATTAAATTATATTTCCATTTTACTACAAATTACAATCTACAAATTTCTATGTGTTCTTAAATAAAATATTCCCAGCTAATATAGCAAAGTAAAGAAAATATTATAAAATCTATAGCAAAAATTACTTTTACTTTCTCTATTTTTCATTTAAAAGAAATCAAAATTAATTAAATATATTCATCTATATATAAGCATTTCTGTTAGAGCATTCAAAATTCGTTTTGCCTAATTTAATTTGTTGCCTGTTCTATTTATTGGAATGGTACAGGCGGCATTTCGAATGAGCACAAGTTCGTCGTCGGCGTCGACGTCGGCGTCGCTGTCGTCGAGTCACGCGACTAACAATAAACATAAAATACACAGGCCACACACTCACACACATACACACCCTGCTTGGTTTTTCATAGGAATAACTAGAAAATAATTTCCTGGCACTTTGTGTGGTCAAATTGGTTTTCGTGTTGTTGTTGCTGCTGCTATTGGCTGTCATGCAACAGGCCACAACAAAAGTTGAAAAGCTCTGAGAGCCGCTCCTCAGCATGAACAGCGTACTTACCTCAAGCTGCAATTG